TCTGATCACACTGACAAAAAAAATGTTTCTGTTCTGATCGGAAAAAAAATTTTACTCAACAACTGACTGCTGAATGAAAGAGCAAATGAAACAGATGAGTGGATGGATGTCCATGGTGCTGAAAACGAATCGTAAAAAGAAGCAACGTGATCAAAAATTACCAGATTCGACATCCAAAAATGGAAATATCTAATTGTAAATCATCGCTAAACAAATTTGTTACCGTATTCAAATTTTTCCACGACCATTCTCGTCCGTTCACTTGATTTTGCAATTTTTCGGTCATTTTAATTTCCGTATCCTTGTAGTCCAAATGTGTCAGATACACCAACGTTTCGCGCATTGTTTTGTACAGCGTGATTGAATCAGTGTCTTTGATCAATTCCCGTACAACCTCGCCCTGTTCATTCTCAACCACCAACACTTCTTCAGGCTTCGCCATACGTGAAATCATCACCAATCGCAACTGCAATCACCAATATCCAATCACTTCTTTTGCACACACACAATATCAATTAACAATGAGACAATCTCATCTGCTTGCACAGCAAACAATTGTAAGGCCTGATCGTGAACATGATAACAGGGGAACAATCAGCTCAAGCCATCCAACTAACTGAAGAATCCATTCAGTCAGCATAATGTATTATTCGAAATGATATCAACGATTCATTGACTCACTTCAGAAAGGACACTGTTATAGAGCGCACGGCGCGGTGGTTCTTGTTGTCGATTCAAAATCGGGAAACTGCTTATCAGTGGCCGATCGATTTGGAATGGGAACTCACGATACAACTCGGCACATAACCAATTCCAATAATCCAAACAAACTTTGAATATTTCCATCTCTTCAACCATACTGATCTTCAGCAGGTATGTCAAAGCCTGAAACAGAAATTACGATCGAATGAATGACTTCCTTCCCAATCATCACCAGTATTTCAAATATTGAATCAAAAGAACAACAAATATATCACAGTTCAGAGGGATATTAGTAGCTAGAAGAATGTGTTCCACGCTAGAGAATTCCGAGCTGATACAGCCTACGGGACTCCTTCAATGAGATTTGCGACAGATCCAGAATGGAACTAAACGCTTTGGCCCCAAAATAATC